TGCCAAAAAAGTAAAGTTGCTTACAGATGTCATTGCTAACATCAGATGGATCTTGGTTGAAAGCAGAGAATAAAAGAAAGATGTTTACTTGTGTTTTATTGACTATGAAGACATTCAATTGTGTGGATCTCAACAAACTATAGGTAACATTTTGAAGAATGTTAATTGTGCTTATGTGCAAACGGTGTGTAAACCAAGAGGCAGTCATTAGGACAGAACAAGGGGATAGTGAATGGTTTGAAATCAAGAAAGGTGTTTGCCAGAGTTGTATCCTTTCATCATACTTACTTAATCTGTATGCTGAACAAATAATATGAGGATCTTAACTACATGAAAAAGAATGTGGTATCAAGATTGGAGGAATGCTCGTTGACATGTGATGTGCAGAAGACATAATCTTGCTTGCTGAAAAGTGAAGGGGACTTGAAGCACATGCTGAAGATCAAAGACTACACCCTTCAGTATGGTTTATGAACTCTATGTAAAGCAAAACAAAAAACCCAAATCCTCACACAGAGAAAAGACTGTAGTTGTCAAGGACTTCATTTTATTTGATGCATTTGAATTATGGTGTTGGTGAAGAACATTAAATACACCATGGACTATTAGAAGAACAGATAAATGTGTGTTGTAAGAGCACAACCAGAATGCTCCTGGGAAAGAAGATGGAGAGACTTCGTCTCATGTACTTTGAACATGTTATCAGGAGGCACCATACATAATACTCACCATTGCAACATTATGCAGGTATATTCTGTTGTTAAATGCCACGGAGTTGGTTGACTCACAGTGAACCTTATAAGGTTTCGGAGGAGCAGCTCGGTGGGTTAGAACCGCAACCCTTGTAGTTCAGTGTTTCCAGGAGGTAAACAGAGAAAGATCTTAGGCTTAGTGTATAGTGCCCTATGGTAGCTAACTCTAGGTAGTCCATCTGCCTTATGGGGCAAGCACCAAAGTAAGGGGAGGTTAAACTTTCTCTACAGTTTGGAAGGTCTGGCAATCAATTTCTGAAAATCAGTAAACACCCTAGGATCACAATGGTCCAATCCCATTGTGTATAGGGTCTCCATGAGCCCCAGGCTGACTCCATAGCAGTTAACAATACAACTGTGCTGTTTCAGCCCTGACTCTGGTGGACTTTGTTTCTCTGCACTTTCCAGAGTGGCCTGTCTCCCTCCCCGGTTTATTCTGAGGTCCTGTGATCTGCTTTCACTTCCCATGTGGACTTAAAATATCAAAACTTAAAACATTAAAAAAGTCACACAAAATTAATATTAAAAAAATAAATTTATTCCAACTTTGAAATACTGAAGAACAAGCATACAGATAAGTAGTAAAAAGAGCAAACATGAGAACATGAAAAAAATTACTTAAGACAGAAAGGCGTTCTTCTGAATTTATACAGAAACATAGCTGTAAAGACATTTCTCCAAGAGTCTCAAAAGGCAAAAGCTATGTTTGCAGTATTTATAGATGCAAGAACTTTTGAAAGCATCCAGTTTCCTTCCTAAAATAATTTCACTAAAATGTACAGTGATGATAATGCATTTCATTTTCCAAAGACAAGAGATACAATCATCTAACATTCTAGCTTGACACATTATAGACAGACAACTTTAACTCAAAATGCAGGAAAATTACCAATTTGATTTTGCATTGTCACATATTTCACTTTCTAGTTAACAAGGACAAATACACACAATATATGTATATTTTCAGAGACATTAGTTTGCTCTTTATCTGAGACTTACACAAAACCTCAGCATTCAACAAATGCAGGAATAAACAACATTGACAATTTAAAAATATAAACTTAATTCTTGGAGAGGAACCTAAAAAACAATTTTGGCCATAAAACTGTTGGTGTAAATACCAAAAAAATTATTGGGCTTATTCATCAACCAAATAGAACAGGCTAACAGAGATTTGAAAGTCGGTTGTACCCTCAAAGCAACAATCATACTTGTTTATCCAGTTGCTTAGGGAATTTTTCTCTAGCTAGACTTCAGTTTCTGTGGTAAAATGATTGTCCCATGACAAATGGCAGTAAAAACTATTTTGGGGATCAAGCTGAATACATTCAATACTTGATGTGATTCAATGACTTGTCCACAGCTCCAGCTACAACCAGAAAGAGACCTAGGGCACGGACCCAGATTTCCTGATTCCCAGCTGAGTTCTTCTAGCAACACATTGTCCAGGATCAGATTCTACGTAAGTTATTGTCATTTGACTACATAGGAACAATTACAATTTCAACATAAATCAATGCATATGTTTTGCCCACACCAGAATTATTCATTCACTCCAAGGGTATGCATTATCTGATTGGCCTTTGTGTGTGTGACATGATGTATATATTATGGATGTTTAATGTCATTACCCTAAAAATATTCTCTACCAATTTAAGAGTCAGGACATCAACACTTAAATTCTCACTGGATAGAAAAGGCAGTGGTAGGCACTGGAAGAAACACATTTGACCCAATTCTCCTTACCCTTAACATGGAAGTGAGCAGGCTGGACTTGATGCCTTTTGTAGTGAAAAATAGAGTGCACTTCCCAAGTACTGATGGAATATGCCACTGGGCATATTATTCCTCAAAGAAAAAATACAGATGACACTGCAGATTTCTAATAGCATTTCAAGATGTCTCTACTAAACGGGAACATCTAAGCTATCTGAAGTCACTGTATTACTGGTCCCTGTAGAGTCTGTTTGTACTCATGGTAACCCCATGTGTGCAGAGAAGTGCTTGTAGCTGGATTTTCAAAGCTGTGATCTTTCGGAAGAAGACTGCCAGTCTTGTCTTCCAAGGTGCTTCTCCATGAGTCCAAACAGCCGAACTTTTTGCTACTCAGCTAACATTTAACTGTTTGCATCACCCATGGACTCCCAAAATAACAATTTTTTTTTCAATCTCAAGAATTTTTAAGACAAAAGTATAGCGTGATTCAGGAAATTGTGAAAAAGCCAGTAACATATAGTGACAATTTCTTAATAGAAATGTATATTAAAAAAAAAAAAAGAGAGAGAGAGAGAGTGCCAAAAGGCAATGGGTACAAAAATCACTCTGTTTCAAATTGGAGTGAAAAAATAGTATGTTAACATTTAAACCATAATAAAAGGCAGCACAGCTGAAAACTCAAGATAAATGAGTCAGTAGGGCGGCTCCTTTGATAATTACAACATAATTCCAAGATCAAAGTCAATCTGTGCACAGAATAGTTATCTTTTTCTCTTTAACAGAGAAAAAATGCTTTGTGGCCACAGACAAGTCATCTGTTCCTCACTTAATCAACATGATGAGGTTCCAAAGACCAGCTTGTTTGAGAATTGACGTTATGTGAAGGTAGAGGATTTCCCCAATTTTCAGACCATCTACTTGTCTCAATTTTAATTTAGAATATATGATCATAGTACCAACAGCAGCTAAGACTTACTGAGGTGCTTGCTCATCACTGTGCTGGGTCCAGTTATGGGTTATTCCTCTCAGAGAAGGAGGCTTGGAGGAGACAGAGTTGGACCCTGTGACTGGAGGGCCCCCAGCGTACCCACTCCATCTTCCTCCTGTGCTGGGTCAGAGCTTCCTTCCCAGAGCCTCCTCCAGGGCTCCTCTCCCACCCCTGCAAGTCCTGTGTTCGTGGTCAGCACCCTTTTCTGCCATCTGCCTAGCAAGTCACCAGAGAGTGCTGGGAGGCTGGACGTACAGTAGGCCTTATTCAGGTGGTGGCTTCAGGCCCAGTTCGGCTCATTTGGGATGCCATCAAACTCACACAGTATTTCTTCCAAACACCCTCTCTGATGCCTCTTTCCTTCCTTCCCACCCCACAACAATTTTGAGTGGCAGCGCCTCAGGCTTCATAAGAGCTGGGAGCCCAGGACAGGCACCCGGAAGCCATGGCCACCAAGAAAGTCATGGATGCGGTGCCCCTGCTGGCAGGAGGAAGCCGACTGCTCTGGGCGTTTAGCCCAGTTACCTGGAGACCCTCCTTGAAGGAGGAGATGCAGTGCAGCTGTTGCTGCCAAGCACACTGTCTTGTTAATGCGCAAAATGGTCAGACAGTAGTTTTTTGTTTGTTTGTTTTTTACTATTGTCATAAATTCAAAATGCCAAGTAATAAGAGAGTCGATAAATGAGGAGTAGAAATGCCTGTTCCAAAGCACTTGTAACAAGAGTATAAGAAGTGGAAACAATCTTAGAGGTCATGTGGTAGTCTGACCCTGAAATTGTCCTTTGGTGGGTTGCTAGCATCAAGTTTGTATATTGTGCTATTATGTAGAGGGGGACTAGTTAGCATGTGGGAAGGTAGCCAATTAGGAACATACTGTTATTTGGTTCCATTACACATTTTATATATCAACAGCATGTACTCCTACGTGACTTAGGGGAATGGACCCCCATATTATAATTTTAGAAAGCCTTCTAAGCTTCTGTTTTCCACACAAAAAGAAGAGTATCTATTTTTGAGCACTACAAAGGGGCTTAAAAAAAGTTGATGGGAAAAATTCCATTATCTCTCAATTTCATTTCTCCATGAACTGTTTGAAGCCCCCTTGTAAATGTCAAAAGGCTTAATTTCAGACAAACAATATATAACTAAAACACTGGACCCAAAACCCACTGACATAGAGCTGATTCCGCCTCACAGTAATCCTGTATAGGGTTTCTGGGGCTGTAAATCTGTATGCAATCAGAAAGCCTCATCTTTCTCCTGCAGAGCGGCTGATGGGTTTGAACAGCCGATCTGTGGTTAGCAGTTCAGGGCATATCCTAGAGTGCCACCAGGGCTCCTACACATTGGACACTCTTTAGATCAATGGTAGTGTTAAAATACTGCTATATGCTTTATACAAAAGTAGTTGTACATTGAGAGTTCAGATAGTAATTGTCAAGTAGCATCCATTCTCTGTCATCTAGAAACCAAGTCTCGCTGCTCCTATATTTCTCCAAGGATCATTGACATTGTAACCCAGTTGTCACACAATATCTGGACATTTATCTTTTCTTCTCATTGCCAATTGCTGATTCTGACTGCTTGCACAACATACCAGTTTTCAGTTCTTGATCTGTGGGACTGTCAACAGGCACCTGAAAAATCAGAAGATAAAACATTTCTAGTATCTGGCATATGTAAGTATTACAGATCAATGGCTGGCTGAGGACAAAACAAAACAAAGCAACAATAACAAAAACACACATACACAAAGCACCAGCTGATTAGATCAGATAGCGTGATGTCATATCTATTCTATGCATTGTTTTCTCAAAAATATAATCATTAAAATATTCATTACTTACAGCTTTAATATCATTTGTAATTCCTATGTTTACATTGTGTCTTCTTAGATCAGACTTGATTAATGCTGAAACAAAGAAGCATCGATGGAGTTACCATATAGTATGTGTAAATAAACTTTTCTCTGAAGAATTCAGGGTCTTTCATGGATATTGTCAAATATTTAGCACACTGTCTTATTGTTAGGTGCTATCGAATTGGTTCTCACTCATAGTGACCCTATATACAACAAAAGAAAACACTGCCTGGTCCTTTGCCATCTTTAGAATTGCTACGTTTGAACCCATTGTAACAGTCACTGTGTCAGTCCATCTCATGGAGGGTATTCCTCTTTTTTGCTGACCTTCCACACTGTACCAAGCATGATGTTCTGCTCCAGGGATTGGTCCCTCCTGACACTATGTTGCTGTTAAGTACCGTGGAGTTGGTTCCGACTCATAGTGACCCTGCACAGGGTTTCCAAGGCTGTAAATCTTTACGGGAGCAGAAGCCTCATCTTTCTCCCGTGGAACAGCTGGTAGTTTTGAACTGCTGACCTTGAGGTTAGCAGCCCGATTCATAACCACTACGCTACCAGAGTTGCTGTTGTTGTTAGGTGCCATTAAGTCAGTTCTGACTCACAGCAACCCCATGCATAACAGAACAAAGCATTACCTGGTTGTGAGCCATTCTCATAGTTGTTGCTTCTTTTGAGCCCATTGTTGCTACTGCCTTACACAATTTTTTGTTAAGTGCAGTCAAATTGGGTCCGACTCATAGTGACCCTGTTTTCCGAGGAGCAGCTGGTGAGTTTGAACTACCAACCTTGAGGTTCAAACCGACCTTGCAGCCCAGTGCTTATCCTAAGGCACCACATGATAGCACCATAATATTCAACTGTAACCTTGAAGCTGGAGAACATATAACAGTGCAACATTATCAGGGAGTCCCTGTATGGCACAAGTGGTTAAGTGCTTTAGTACTAGCCAAAAGATTGGTGGTTTGAACCCATCCATAGGCACCTAGGAAGACAGACCTGGTGATCTGCTTCTAAAAGCTCCCACCCTTGAAAACTCTATGAAGCAGGTCTACTCTGCACACATGGGGTCATCAGGAGTCAGAATTGATTCAATGGCAATAAACAACCCCAAGCCATCAACTGGATACCCTAGATGATGCAAAAAGTTAATGTGCTTAGCTGGTAGGGAAAAACTGGAAGTTCAAGTTCACCCGGAAGCACCTCAGAAGATAAACCTAGAAAACCCAATGGAGCACATTATATTCTTATACACAAGTCATTATCTCCTTTTGTCAGAATTGATATCAATATTGTAAGAATGCAGATTTATTCTGGGCTAAGTGAATATATGTAAATATGGCCTTCCTGAATGTGTTAAAATGATGCGTGATGTGTGATGGAATCAAATTGAAAAGAAATTAGGTATTAAAGCACTATGCTTTACATTCCCATAATAATCGCTTTAGACTGATGAGCTCTACAATATGCCTTGTATACATTGTTGTCGTTAAGTACCGTGGAGTCGGTTCTGACTCATAGCAACCCTATACAGGGTTTCCGAGGCTGTAAATCTTTACAGGAGCAGAAAGCCTCATCTTTCTCCCGCAGAACAGCTGGTAGTTTCGAACTGCTGACCTTGAGGTTAGCAGCCCGATTCGTAACTACTATGCTACCAGAGCTCCTTTGCTACTCACTGATTTTCTATAGGGGAAGTGTGTACTTCTTTAATATTAATATTATATACAGATTCTTAGAAACAATGTGAATGGCATTATCAATCATTCATTCCCATGGATTCAAAAATCCTTCACCAAGAGCTGTCATTAGTACTGCCTTCAAACGGTAACTCCTGTATCACAACAAGAACTCATAGTAAATTGAGGAGAAAATGTAAAAAAGAAAAGGTACACCTTCAGGACACCTCAGTAATTTCCCAACCCCCTTTCCTTGGGCTACACAAATGAATGCTGGATATAAAATCCATCAAGCTCTCTCCAGAAAAACACCCAACATAGGAAAGACGCTAACTGGCATTTTTAGATCGTTAAAGGTATCAATCTGAAACTAATCCTAAAGAACTATTTTCCCTTAATTTTCTAGACTTGAGTTTGAATCTGATGATAAAAATAATGTGAATGGAATACAAAACTCCTGTTGTTGATGCAACAACAGCACGCATCTAGCTAGTTGCCTGGATAGTGAAAATCAACATGAAATTATTTGTGATAAAGTCAGGAGTTAAGACAGTGAATGCATTAGATACTTCATAGTTTTGGTATTTACTTTATGAACTGAAGAGCATGAGGGGGTGGGATTCCCTCATGGTAGGCTATCTCCCCTTGAAGAAAACAGCACAAACTCACTCTCATTAGGAGTAATGAATGGGTGTTAATGACCTCAGGTGGTTGAGTATATCCACAATTAACATTATTCACTCATAAGACTTCATGTGAGGAGTTACAAAAAGAATAACAAGGTATTCAACAAACGTGTGTAGGGCAGAACTGAGCTCCATAGGGTTTGTTGTTGTTAAGTGCCGTTGAGTCGAATTCCAACCCATAGCGACCCTGTAGAGGGTTTCTGAGGAGCAGCTGGTGAGCTTGAACCACCAACCTTGCAGTTCAAATGGCTTTGCAGTCTGGCGCATTAACCTACAGTGCCACACCAGGAATCCACAGGGGTTATTTGGCTGGAGGCTCTGGTAGTGTAGTGGTAATGAATCGGGATGCTAATCTCACGGTCAGAAGTTCAAAATTACCAGCTGTCCTGTGGGAGAAAGATGAGGCTTTCTGCTCCCGTAAACATTTACAGCCTCAGAAACCCTTTACAGGATCGCTATGAGTCGGAACCGACTCCACGACACTTAACAACAACAACCTTTATGGAAGCAGATCACCAGGTTTCTTTTCTGCTGCACCACTGGGTAAATTCAAAGCACCAACCTTTCTGTTTGTTAGTAAGCACTAACAGCTGACACCTCCCAGAGACCTCAGCGAACATAAAGTTTTGATTCTTATCTTTCTCATAGATTCTATCCTTGAACTAAATTATAATCAGATTAAGAAAATAATAATACCTTTTCTAGCTCTCATGTTGGTAAAATGAAGTAGAAAGAAATGAACAAAATGAAATGATAGGAGAAGTCAGCTAATAGGGGCGTAGAAGCAATGCTAGATGGAAGTCTTGCCTCCAAATCCATTTTTGTGCTCACGTGCATGGATACTCTATAGATAAGTGTTGTTTTGCATTTTTGTTCCCTGGAGATTGGGCACTACTCTCTGTCCTGTCCACATCTATTCTAATTACTCCCACAAAGTGTAAGAACTGGCGAACCATTCCACAGCTATTTCTACCACCACCATTCAACTTCCCATCATCATCACCACTGCATTTTAATAATAGCTAACGTGTATTAGACACTTCCTAGGTGCCAGACACTATACTAGGCTTTTTTCATGAACCATCTCAGTTAATCCTCAAAGCAACCCTATGGTAGTAGTGGTGGAGTGCTGTGGAGTCGGTTCCAACTCATAGTGACCTTGCACAGGGTTTCTGAGGCTGTAAATCTTAACAGGAGCAGAAAGACTCAGCTTTCTCCTGCGGAACTGCTGGTAGTTTCTAACTACTGACCTTGAGGTTAGCATCCTGACTAATAACCACTACGTTACCAGAGCTCCTAAGCAATCCTATAAGGCAGGCTTTTTTAAACAAAAACATGTAATCTTTTTTTACTGTGGTAAATATGTGTGTGTGTATGTATATATATGTGTGTGTGTATGTATGTATATATGTGTGTATATACATATGTATGTATGTATGTATACACATGGGATCCTGGTGTAGTGCTACAGAATCAGCACTTGACAACTAACTGTAAGGCCAACAGTTCAAACCCACCAACAGCTCTTCAGAAACCCTACACAGGAAACCCTATACAGGAAACCCTATTACAGCGTAGCTGTAAGTTGGAACCAACTTGACAACACTTTTAGTCACTGAATTGTACATGTAAAAAAAAGGTTGAAATGGCAACTGTTTATCTATATATTTTTGCTAAGTGCCATCAAGTCAGTTCTGACTCATAACGACCCTGTATTGGGTTCTGGAGGAGCAGCTAGTGGGTTTGAACTGCTGACCTTGTGGTTTCCAGTCCAGTGCTGATGTTACAGCGCCAGACCCTAAGTCCAGTGCCACCATTACAAGTATCCACTGCCTCTATTTTCTGTCATTTTTTATTGTGATTTGGGTGGAAGTTTACAGAGAAAAATTTGTTTTCTTTTCTATAATTCACACATTTTTTGATTCATGACATTGAATGCAGTCCTCACAATGTAACAGCGCTCTTCCCACTTCCTGGGCTTGCTGTTTCCAGGCTTCCTCTTTCCTATCCATTCCTGTCTTCTGAGATTTATCAATGACCCCTAAACAACACCTCTCTTTTTGCCCTTCCCTGCCTCCCTCCCTTGGCAACCACTAGTAAACTGTGGACTCGCTATATCTATAAGGCAAGCTTTTTAACACCCTGTTACATAAGTGAGGAAAATGAGGCTTTGAGAGGTTCAGGAGCCTATCTAAAGTCACAAAGTTAGTAAGTAGCAGACTCAGATTGGAGGCAAGGTCTTTATTGACCCATGCTACAGAGGTTTTGTTTTCCATGCACAGTAACTGTACTAAAGAAACCTGAAAAGTGAATGAACAAATTCATATCCTTAGAAACCAAAGTTATGGCCATTGAGAAGCAATATACATGAAAATTAAAAATAAAGATAATAATACTTTTATCAAGAAAATACCCTAATTTACCTGTTAAAATGATGCCCACAAGCATCCAGACACAAAGGAAAATGTTCCCTGCCATAGGATGATAGACTGATATGAGCTTTCCTTGAGCCAATGTGAACAGAATTCCAAATATCTAAAATAAGAGAAAGGATTTTTATTAAGTTGGGTTCTTTAAAGTAAAGGTGTGTAAACGGTTTCCCCAGAACTTTCCTTAACTAATTTTGTTTGTATGATTTCACATCAAAAGCCACTCATGGAAAGGTGGAATTGTTCAAACACGATAGTCAAACTCATTTTCCATTTCCTCAACTTTCTACTAGCATATCTGGTAAATCAGCTAAAATCTTGGGTTTAAGAGAAACTGGAGAGGGAACCTAGAGCTAGGGGGCATGGAGGAAGGCAGAATCTCTAGTGAGTACTATCCAGTCTGTCTAGGCGGAGCTGATGAAATGAAATGCAGAAGGGTCACTTGTGATACAATAGTGAATGATTGTTATCAGGACTGATTGTGAGGGTTGGAAATGTAAAGGTAGACGTTTTGTAGCAAGGAAGGGAGTGATTAACTCGCCAGTCTAGGAGCAGAGGTCTCTAGGACCATCAATGGAGAAGAGCTGAGAGCGGGACCCTACCCAGAGAAGCAGCGAGGCCCAAAATGGAGGCAGAGACGATGATGTAGAGTGATGAAGCGG